GAGACACTCGAGGGAACATCACCGTGGAGAGCCCTCACCTGGTCTGTGGCGACAGCGACCTCGGTCAGTGGATCCAACTTATCACAGCCAAACAAGACCACATCAGGTGCAACTTCCTGCTTATATTCAGTAGAAGACCATTTTTAATTAGCTATTACCCGGTGAATATTAAAAAATACACACAATTTATGAATAGCTACCAAACTTTCAAAAACATTAGGGTTTTTTAAGCAGCATTACGATTAATAGTGCATGCAGAAACTTAATGTGTATTATTTTTGAACTTATGAAAATTTGATTCACATTATCCGGACGATTTAATGGAATTTTTAACCAAACTGTCCATCTTTGTATTCTTGTTTATTAGATCATCAATTAGGCAGTTTACATACGTAGAACTCAACAAAATGTTCCAAGGTGATTTCGCTAAGATCAACGTCGTCCTTTAAAGACGTCAACAATGTTGCCCTGCTCTACACAGAACAGTGAATCACCTGTTTGAAGGACAAAGCACGTGCTTCTGGCAACAAAATAGACAGTCACGAAGTAGAAACTCAAGGTAGCACAAATGCGTTTGATCGTTGCCTTCGTGATTGAAAGCTTGAAGCATAGCTGGGTAGCCAGAATTTACTGATATGGTTGATGTTGACAAGTGTTTTTTAATTTGTACTGCAAAATCAATATGCTGGGTCATCAAACTTTTTTCATGGCAATTTAAATGAATAATTCTGCAAATGAAGTCCAATCAAGTTGCTTTATGCATCCATACGTTTACCTATTTGTATTTTCAAAAATTTCAAAATTCAAATATTGCCGTTGGTCTGTCAAGTGAAACAGCACGAGCTATTAAAACTGGCATCGATAATTGGTCCTTTAAAATTAAACCAACCCGTCTCATTACTGATTGTCGCATTAAAGTTAACAAATATGGTTGAGAGCTATCCTTTCCTCGTAATGTCTATTTCTGCTGAATTTTAGTGTTAAAACTCCATCGAGAGCATTTTTTTCTAACACCCAAAAATCTCCCTTTTCAATCAAAATCGAATCTGTACAATAAATTTGCATGTCGATTTTCCTCTTAAAAAATATGCAGGATGGTTGTGCAGCTGAATCTAAATTAGGCAAAACTCATCAAAAATGCTTAAATCTTTAATAACGACGAATCTTGACGCAATAATTCAAGTATCGTAAATACAACACCTTTTTTTTCATTGGGCCGATTTTAGTAATATTTGCAAAAGTGGTCAGTTTTGTTGTATGTAACCGAATTAAAGATTTAAGCATTTCTGATGAGTTTCGTCTAATGTAGACCAGCAAATTTACACATATTTAAATGTTCGTGCATAAGCAGGCCATATTGCTATAACGCTAGAATCGAGTGCTTACCTGCCCAAATTCAGTAGCATTTAGTGTTCGCTACTTCAGAATGGCGGAAGCATGAAATCAAAGATTTGGCCGATCTGTCATTACATTGTTTTCCATTTGCCTTTATACATTCAACCAATAGAAATTTACACTGACCCATTAACCACGCATGTCTTCGGCATTCAACAATTCAGCAAATTGACAGCAGTTGAAATGCGAAGAGGCTTACGTCTGAATTGGGAGTCAATATTTGCTCGGTTACTCGTCCGCGGTCATCTAGGTAGAAAATGAATAAACAATTTAACTTCTATCCACAAGCCAATATTAGCCAATATTATACAGCAAAAACTTGCCTGTTCGTGTACAGATCAAACATCTAGCAAGACGACAAACACCGGCCACGGCCGAATCCACCAAAGACGAAAAGTTGACGGTCAGTTGCAGCAGCCAAAAGCTATATGCGAGGCCGCCTCATTTGCAGTCCACTTGGCACGCAACGATTGTAGGGGTTATTCGTGACAACTTTAGGGGTTTCTTTGCGTGAAACCCCAATTCCACCAATCAAGTAACTGCAACCTGTTTGAAAATGTAGGACCAAAGTTAACAGCACAGACATCTGCCGTCTTGAGACAGCAAAATGAGCATACTTACCCTTACAAAGCGCAAACTTGGAATCACGTCGAGGGAAGACTTTGATCTTGGCAATTCCTCCTGGCAGTTAATGCGAACTGTTCAGTGGATTTAACCCTCAAATCCTTGTTTCACAAAAAAATTGACTGCATTTTCAAGCTGAAATTTGATTCACTAACCATGTTTTGTGATTGAGACATCTCTTAATTTCTAACAGAAATGAATGAAGCGGTTTTTCTCGTTCAAGTGCCTAGCGGATGAGTTTATCACGGAGGACGCATTTGATCGAAGGTCGATTTGAATTAGGTTAAGCACTTGACGGCAACACCCTTTCTTCACTTGTGTTTTAAGGATCACATAAATCTGCGGCGGAGTGACGTTCGCACACTGTGCCTCTCTTTGCACCACCGCCGTGTCGTATTCACCGGATCGCATTTGACCTTCCGGCGGCATTGCGCCTGCAGAATCGTCCTTCCTTGCAAAGTATTTATATAGTGAGTTTCATTAGGGCTATGGTTAAAGGCGCAACACACATAAAATTTAGTAAACGGTCAAGTTGTATTATAGTTATCATCGCCAGTGGGTAAAGTCTGTTTAAGAAAGGGTTTTTTCGTAAATATTTTTATTAATTCTGAAGAAACGATAACTGATAATTGCACTTTGTCATCTTAAACGTTAATTATATGTTTCCTGCTGCACCTTTGGCATGTAAGTGATCGGATAATGTTTGAACCACTTGCTGGAGATCACATGAACCTCACTTTGGAAACAAACCGCACATAGGGGTCTTATACACTGGAGGATTACAGTCGATTTTAACCCAAAGATCATGTAATAACCACAAACATGACGCATGTTCATGAGATTAAACATGAAATACGTAAAGATGATTTATATCCTTTAGGAAACATTCACTTGTACTCTGTAACGCGAAACTGATAATGTTTCCCTACAAAGACTTGTTTCACTATTGAAGTGCAAATCACCATCGACGCTTCGTAATTCCTTGTCACCTCAAGCCAGTGCATTCTCAGTCGTAAATTGTCATTGCTGAATTATTGCCTGAATAGAGATTCCCACTCACTACAGGAAAGTTTTAATTTAGCTCGTTTGACATGTTCATTTTATCAGCCTTTTGATTAGACGCTGCACTAAAAATTGTCAATTAAAACAGTTTCATTTTCGTGCTTCTCATTGTAACACATTCTAGTGGCTATAAAATCAAAAGAGGGAGGATCCATGATTTTTCAGAGTTGGAAGCTGCTGACAACTTGACAGGTCTTAACCCATTTCGACAACTGTATCCAACCTTTCGAAAGCATTTAAGATGTTGCATCAATTACTTCAATGGGATTACCTAAATGATTGCGGATGCATTTTTGTCCTGGCAATGCTGCTTTAACTGTCGAACATTGATTGGACCCAGATCTCGATATCGTCGGCGTCTTATCGACGACATCCTCCTAGAGTACACCGTCAAATGCACTAGAATTTGACCAATTGAAGAAACGAACTACGCGGATCGATAGTCAAACAAAAGTCTACAAATGTAACAGTGAAAATTCCCAAAACATTCATAACTCACTGACACTTGAACAACCTTACTGACCGGTCATTTTAAAGTGGTTTCAAAAGACTGCGTTTTTGCAAGCGTTGAAGAGAGTAATCTAAGCTGGCAGACTCCCAAAGTGTGCACACATCAATGCGGAAACTTGTGCATCCAGCTTCTCAGTCGGTCGATTTAAACTCTTAAGTGGAGTGCTTCCACAGAAGCTGATTCGCATCTGACGACTGCGTGATTGCAAGCATGTATTTTAACTCAATGCTCTCAATTTGTGCTACACAGTGGGCTAGACTTACGTTGCACAATTGAGTTCAAAGCATTCAAGGGTACGTAAGTGACAATTTCTTTATTCTCACCAATATCTTTTGATTATCTTCGAATTAGAATGGAGATAAATACATTAGTAGTATTAAACCTGATACATGTGTTAAATGTATTCCGGTCACGTGGAAGATGCTACAGGCCTTTTAAATTTGCGCGTTATGCCAAGTAAAATGAGCATCGTGGAGAAGAACTTGTCTTTTGATTAGCTCTAAGCAAGTTAGAGAGTGAATTTGAGAAATAGACTTCATAGTGCAGATTCTCGACAAACTCAGACAAGCCTCGAAAGACGAGCATTGCTGTTTACCGTACAACCTGAATCCCCTTGTGCTTTTAAGATTTAGATTAACATTTGAGATAGCAAGGTCGGTAGAACTGCTTGAATGCTACTGTTGAATGCTGGGAGATTTTTAATTCTGAGAGAGATACGCAAGGCGACAAACATTTCTGTTATAGGTATAGTGTCTAAACAGACGAGTATGATGTCTTAAATGGCACTGAGTAACCACTACATCATGCCAATTTAGACACAAAATGGCTGGTATGACGATTCGTGATTCGAATGAAACACAAGCCCCGAACAGGTTCTTCGAAGGCACAAATGAGGAATCAGAGCTGGTCATTTGGAACAATTTGTGTCAGGCATTTGCTTAAAGTCGATTCATTTCGCACGAGGTTTTAAGTACTATCCATCGGACCACGTCTACATGAGTGGTTATTTAGCCAGCCAACGCAGAGTGACCAACAGGGTGGAACGAATAAATCCCCTTGATGGTTGCATCTCTCAAGCAGCTTCGATGGAGCAGCAATGGCTTTTTCATTTTACAGTCACGCACACTTAACACATTTTTGTCTTTGGCGGAATAGATAACAGGCGAAGGTATTTATCGTCTGATGAAGATTTTGATCCTATTGCACACAGGCACGTTTATTTTTTACGGTTGCAGCTTACTTGGATGGTCTGAAAGAATGGCCACAAACACAACCTTAGTGAGATGGCATTGAATTAGTTGAGCATCCGTTTTGAATAGAATTTTCATGATTAAGTGAACCAAAAATCCTAACTTTGATTAGGCGCAGAAATGAACCCTTGTTAAGAAACGGTACATTGTGTGGAACATCAAAGGTGGATTCGACTGCTAAAAATGCCGATGCCACGGTCAAAGTCTGCTGCAGCCACCATTCCTAGAGGTGGCCTTGCCGTTGTCGGTGGGTCACGCACACAAACAGCCGAACTACTAGAAGAGAAGACGCAAGGAAAGGACACGCGCTCCTAGTGTGCAATCAGCACTCCAATGCTGACAAAGAATGACGCCATCCCACAGCGGCGTTCCTAAACGGACATGCAGTTGCTGCTGGCGGATACCATAGAGCAAGCATCACCATTGTTAGTCTCCAGCTGCCCTCTTCAGATCACCACGTTGTCTAGTGGACTGAATTGGTTTGTTCTGACATTTTGGGTGCATTTATCGTAAGGCTAATGCGTGATGCGCATTCAACTGTCGGCATGACAGTATTAACGAATAACCACCTGGCCTACTTTGAATGGTCTTGTCATTCAGACAAGTCTTGTCATTCAAAATTGCGCCAGATTCAAAAAGGTAGCAATTTAGAATTTGTCTACTTCTGCACACATACTAAATAAGGCCCTGTTACTCTTGGTCATCACATCTGTCAAACATTCAACTATCTAAATCATGTTTCAGTCACGTCAGATTCACAAATGTATGCGGAGTATCCACGGAGTGCATCACGTCTGGCGCGTTGTCTGTTGTTGGACACCTTAAACAACAGCTCTTTGTTAAAAACCCCTATTAGAGATTGAAATTGTATTGCAAGTCAAAATTGTCATGGTTCACAAACAGGATTGATTTATTTGCCGGGCCCGTTGTACTAAATTTTAACTTGACGTTTTTATTTGATGTCGAATTAGACATGGTCTTGCGATGTCGTGCACCTTTCAAGAAGTCGGCCAATGTCTGTTACCAACACTTTTAAATTTTGCAAGAGATGTACCAACTTAGCTGCCCTTTGAAGAAAGATCGTGATCAACGATTTCGCAATTTCAGGGCATAAACGAAGTTGCTGAGAAATTCATTTGGTTCTGATGAAGGTTACAATCCCAACAGATCTTTTGGCAGGTCGTTGGTGGAAAAGAACTATGCGGTGATCATGAATAACCCTGAGGCTCACTTAAACACACTGGATGAAAATTAGGTACTTGTGATAATGCAAATATCATTTTGCTACCATGCTATTAAAGTTAATAAACAGGCGACTCATAAGATCGTTCAATTTCGGGCCTTTTTTAAAGGTTACAGTCAACTGAGGTTTCGGTTAACATGCAGTCACCATTGAACGAGCATCGGTGAAAGAGCACTAACAAATGCAGTCAATATGGAATTTTATTTATTGGAATCAGCACACCACACACCGATGCTGATGTCTGATTCTTCATCGTTCACCAGGTTCAAAAATTAAAAGCACTTCAGGTGTAGAGTGAAATTATGTACATGTCTGGATTACAAGTCCTTGCGTAACACAAACAGAATTGGTGACTCGATCTCTCTGAGCGTGAAAAGCGGCCTCCACATTCCGACGTTCTTTGAATAGTCCTAAAATTGGCATGCCAGGTAGAGATACTTGGTAAATGCATTCATTGTGTACAATCAAGGCCTTACCTTTGACACCGACGCCGATGAATACTCGTGTACCTCTCCATCTTCATCTGGTTTAAAAAGAGCAAATTAGACTTTCCGTTATCTGAATAAGCAAATTATAATAAATACGGAATGCACACCAAATGATCACGAAGTGGATAGGACAGTGGATCAATCATCCCATAGGATGGGTGTTTGTGTGTCCAACAGCAAATGTTTAGTAAAGATTGTGGCAGAAACTAACTACTAACCAGCTAACAAAAGTTTATCATTAAAAACGACCAGTGATTGGCCCATTAGAGGACCCCTGATCTGCGTCCATTGGCCAGCGTCATTGCCATCTGGGTGCAGGTGAAAGCATTCAACACTGATTGAGGGGAAACCAGCGCCCCCCGCAACAAAGACCCGGTCGTGGTAGTAGGCAACTCCAGGAGCTACACGTCTTTCCAGCATCGGTGTAAGTCCCCGCCATGCCCAGTACTCATCGTCTTCCTCGCTGCCAGTGAGCAGTTCGGCAGTGTCCAGAGTGTAGTCTCCTGTTTGTCTACCGCCGACCACAACGATGCCAACATTTGGAATGTTGATTGCCGCACTATCGAATCGTGATGTGGGCATATCCGGAAGTCGTGTCCACCTTTAAGCAGGGAGAAGCCTCTTAAAAGACTGCTGCTCCATCACAAATATATTTTGTTTTGACACACACGAATTCTCAATAGAAATAACTTATTTAGTGTCCCTGCATACAGCTCACCCACATGGTATTTGAAATGTCGTTACCTGTTTTCCTTATCTTTATATAAATTATTGAAATGTCGTAAGTATTTTTAGCTATTATAAAAAAGCATCTGATAAAAAGCGTTAAATTTGTATGATGAAACCTGCCTGTTTGCCAATATGTCAAACCTTTCACAAGACGACAATGCTTTCTGGTGACAAAATCCTCCGAAGACGAGAATTTGTGTGTCTTTTGTTGCAGCGGCAGCCTTAAATCGTGCCTGTTTCATTGAAGGTGCTTTAACGAAGGACCTGGTGAGGGGCTTCATAATGTCAACGAGGCTGGTTGGTCGATCGTTGGCATTCACACCACCAATCATGTAGATGCAGTCTATCCAACAAAAACAGCGTTAACTTCGTGGCAATTCGCCACAGCTTCCAAACGTACAATTGTGCGATCTCACCGTTAAACACGGCATTTGTCCAGTCCATGTGTAGTGTCATATCGTAGGCAGATGTCGCGTGTTTCCGTTGAGCTGGCATTATTTCTATGACGACAAAGTCCTCTGGCAATGCATCACGTGAGTAAGCGAAAAGGTGTTCCACAAATCGCCTCCTTGTTTAAACACAAAAATGATTTAATTGACTCCAAATGGTTTGTTTTAATACGAACGGCTGTCATTCGTGCGGAAGCGACAATAAAACATGCGATGGTATCAAGGCAAGTAAATTAGCAACCCGTAGTCATTAATTCGCCAAATTATCCATAATTAGGTACCCTGTCAATGACGATTCCCCAGCAGTTCGCGAGGTTGACGAAACCGAAGAAATGCGCGGACGCTGTGCCAACTTCCAGGCATTGCTCAGACCCTCTCTGAATTAGCCACAAACCAGGTTCATACAAAAGCATTCGGAAAGGCAATACCAAGTAGACCTTTACAGCGAAACATACTTGATTTCTATTGGTAGAGCTGCTACTGTCCCCGACAAGCAGAAATCGACGAAGTACTCCGACGGAACTTTGGTCAAGTCAACGATTGAAAGGAGATGCTCAAAACAGCCAGCACGTCTGGCGCGCTCCTCCACCGTGAGAGCTGCCTTGAGCCACGAGCAGATGCACCCCAACTTCAACTCCTCATTCACGGTGTCCAGACGACAGTCGGCCAACAGCGCTGCCAAGTATTCCGGTTCAGCAGAAGAATGCAATTCAATGCATTGACTTAAACTGTCAAAGTGCTCCGATATAAAGTCTACACAAACATTGATAAGATCGTCGTTTCTGGTTGCGTTTGCGATACACCAGATGCCTCCTACGTTGTCCATCGTAATTCTTAGGAAGAAAAGAAATACGACATCTATGAATGAAAAAGTGGGTTTTGCTACAGAGATTTGTCTACGTTTGCCAAAATAATCATCCATTAATAGCTTGCTTTAGAGATTTTAGAAAAAAACGTGCCTGGTTTCGAGGAATTCGATGCAGGACAAAACGAGTCGTGTGCAGCCGAGATTAGTTGCCAACAGGAGAAGGCGGGCTGCGTTATCCATTGAAATCACAACCCTTCCAGTGTACGCGAAAGCGACTGCGGCCTCCACTATACTAAAACATGCCATTTCGTGGAAACCAGTTGCACTTACTCTCTGCTGTATCTCCTCCACTCCAATGTTGCCCTTGTGCACTCCGTCACAGCCGTCTCTATGTGAGGGAATTGGGCGGTCAACACCAGACGATGAGCAGGTACTTTGTGTCCTTTTTTGGTCTATAACCTGGTAACCCTCCAGGAATCGTTAACTTACGACTATTTCAAGATCAATGAATTTTCCTAGACGTCGCAGTCGGTCGAACCGAGCACAGGGAATGTAGCTGAATGTCCGTGATGAGTATTTTATTTTTTCTGCGCAAACCATTTCGAAACTGCAATTCGTGCAATTGATACCTTGAAAGTCTAATGCGATGTAAAACAAGTTACCCTGAAAGTAAATTGCTGCGTTTCACACGTTGCACATTTATACCACAAAGCCGATCGTGTTTGACGTGAGCAGGCAAACACACTCTCGTGCGCACATACCAGTGGAACGCGAATGAGAATCAACGTGGAGTGCGCTGTGAAGGACGCGTGAATACCGTGGTTAGATTGGGTGTCAGTGAGTGTGTGTGTGTGTTTATGGGCGTCTCGTTGATAACGAAGTCAGAAAGGAATTTGACCCAGTGGATCAAGTCTAATTAACACGTAGTTTGAGTTGTAAGGAGTGTGAAGTGAATGGTTACCTCACTTGAGTGGCGTGGTTAGGGGCTGTGTCAACTAAGACGATGCCGCCAACCAACGCTCAAATCGGCCAGTACGAAATTATTAGCAAATGGAGTCAATTAACTGCTGGGCTCCTTAACATTTTACATCTACACAACAGCCTTCTAATGAAACTTAACAATATAGAAACAGGACTACTATAAAGCACCAGCGAAGGAAATCGCGAGCTCAATCCTTCGGGGCAGTCAACTGGCTTTACACCATGTTTACGTCCCCAGACAATCACTCACGTCAGTCCGTCGATTTGTGTTCAGTCACCCCATGCCAAAACACCTGGCCAATCACAATGATTTGTGAGATCTAACAACCCCATTGGTTCATGATTGACTCAAAATTAGAAACTCGCAATTACCACACACTAATCAACTGAGCTGCTTCACAGTCACGCACGTGTCGAGGTTACACATGGACTAAGTCACGGATCACTCGTCGCGCACTGATGTCGTCGGATGCAAAATTCCAAAGACTTTCGAATACCCGTCGTTATGGTTCTGGCAAATCGAGGCTTATTTTCACTACAACAAGATAACTTCGCAAACCATCAAATATCACCATGTTCTAGAAAAACTACACAACCCTGTGAGACTTGCAGTTCTTGATCTGATTGAGGAAATTCCAGAGCGTAACCCGTACGATAAGTTGAAAAACGAATGAACGAAATCTACGAAAGTCGTGCACGACGTCTTCTTCCCGATGTGATTTTTAGTTATGGGCAAACGTAACGATGTTCGTGGAACCACTGTTTTCAAGTCTGATGCACTTCGTATTGTTCACTAATGTAGCACCAACATTGGTGCTGATCTCGTTCTAAATGCAGCCAAACACTATGATACATGAACGCACAGTGCATTCTGTTGAATAAACTGCAGACTCAATACAGCAGGTCTAATTGAAGAGCGGGATGTGGGACAGGAAAAACGTAGAGGAGATTCGTGAGGGTTGATGACGCGAAGGATAAGAGGGAGGAGGGTGTTGTGGTGCAAGCTGAGAGGAATTATTACACTGGTTTGGTGTACTAGAAGAGAACCCTGAATGCGTTTTGGGAGGCACACCAGCAGAGCTGCCTTGGCTCCGTCTGGTGGATTCTCCAAACGGACAAGTCGGCAGAGCTCCATAAAGAACACTGGGAACGTTTGGTCTGTGGCTTAACGTCCACTGTAGAACTGGAAGAGAAGTTCGGTAGTGTGCTTGTCATAGTGATTGAGGGGCCTTAGGGTGTCGATGTTGATTTGTAATGAGGAATCAATAGGGGTACTGGTGGGTAGCTTCTCCCGAATTTCGAGTGAAAGCGCAGTGAGTATCAACCTGCTGTAGTGTTCTTGAGGGATAAAGGGCCGTTGAAGGTGAATAAAAGTGTGCTAATGTGTGAAGTGTTCTTTGAAGTTTAGAGCAGGAGGTAATACAGGAAATAGTTTGATAAGTTTTATAGGGCTGGTGAGGGTAAAGCCAAAGTTGCGGGGGGTGTGGTGCTGGCCGGTGGGGGTGTTAGTGTGTGTGAGTTGGCCTTCCTCGCTTGCAAACGCCTTGTCGGTGTTCGAGGTTGAGTCGGAAGCGGGTTGACGTTAGCGACGTCAGCGCATGCTGACTAGGGGCACCAAAAGTGGCTGGGAATGAGCAGTGAGCTGAGACTAATTAGGCGACAGGACGCACTCTTTCTGCTTACTTTAAGGTGTTCGAGTACAGGGGACCCACGAATAAGGTGCACTTCCAACAGAGGTTTGTTCGTGGTACGGATGAAGGAAGCGAGGAGGCAATGTAGTCATTGAGAGATTACGTTGAGTCATATCCACACTCCGTGGGACGGACAGGTCTCCATAGGCGAGCATTCGGAAAGAGGTCGCCAGTAGCAATGGGGGTTGCATTGCAAGCTTTGTGGCATGCGTGACAGTGATGTGGTTTATAAATGCGAAAAGCACAAATCAAGTCCATAAAGCAACAAAAGCAGCAAAATGTATGGAATGGCTTATACTCACTACCTCACTGCTAGGGTGCGCAGAGAAAAGAAGCAACGACATATCTTTCACGATATGCACGATCTTTTATTTCGCACAATCGCCTGCGAGTTGGCCTTCCTCGCTTGCTGCACACCAACTCTCAAATCCAAATTCCTCCTTCCCTTCTTATTGGCCCATACGACCTTTAGTGTCCCACACCTATTCCCACACTCAAGGCCGTAATGTTCACTAAGGCCTGTGGCTGAGGTGGCAAGTGTCCTGTGCACGACATCACGCCCTGCATTGCGTTATAGCGTGGGGAGGAGCTGACTCATACGTGTTTTGTCTGAGTACCGTTGTCGGAGGCTTATCACGTGGTAGAAAGACGTAGTTGGTTGGGTTTTGCATGTGTGTTTGCCGGGTCCGTGACACACTGGCTGCTGTCAATTTGGCTGCAATCTGCTCAAATGTCTCAGAACAATAAATTTAACTGCCTCCAATTCACTTCAAAATGTTCTCATAGAATCTAGATCAAATACTTCCCGTTTGACGTGTGTCTACATCCGCTTTAACAGATATCAGAAATCAGTTAGAAGTGGAGATGAGATATTGACACAAATAGGTAAGTATACATGTCTCACTCAATCGCTATGGCCAAAATATCACCACACACTAATGCCTCTTAAGCTCATAGCAGTCCTAGGCGCATGATGTGAGTCAGCCTACAACGGTCGGCGGATCTCCGTTAGTCACGATTTCGTCTTAGTTAACACAAATCCCTAATCACACCACTCAAGTGAGTCAGCCATCCACGTCACACCACATGCAGCCTAAAATCTGCGTTAATCCAACTTGATCCATTAGGTCAAATTCCTTCCTGACTTAATTACGGAGCTACGTGATGACATGTTACTCTGTCCCAGACTGGAGAAGCCATCTGCACGAGGACTTGTGTTTGTCCTGAACGCACAATGTTTCAAGTCTGATGCAAACAACATTTAGCGAAGAGCGATAACAGAATCGATTGGATCAATAATTACACAGCAAAAGGGGAGAGAATGGGAAGTTCACACTGTGGAGGAAGCTGATTACTTTTAATGACTCGAGTGGACGTAGAAATGAGTATCGTATTAGGACGTCAACGACATGTTGCACCTCTTTATCTTGACATGGCGCTGCCAGTGCGTCGTGTCTAGGTTGGGAATATTTTTGACCTGACAACTTTTCTGCGCAGTGTAGATCCAAGCAGCACATTGGTTCCACTTGCTGCATAGCTTGGTGCTTTTGACACAGCGTGACGATA